CCCTGTCCGCCGCACCTTAATACGCCCCTGGTTCTACACGAATTTTAGTTTCGAAAAGTCATCAAAGTTTCTTGGTTTTTCAGGGTCTTTTAACTTTCAATAGCAAAAAGAATAAAATTCTTGCGCGCACGATTTTACGGACACCATTGCACCCACAGCTTTCTTATTTTGGGGGGAGAAAGGTACTACTAATATCTACAAATTGTCACAGGATTTTTTTGATCTGCCCATTTTGAAATTTGTTGTGGCAAATTTAAGATATTTTCTTTTCGTAAAACTCTTTGTTTTGGTAACATCGAAAATGAAAATTACAAAATGGAATATGCCAGTACTTTACCATTTCGATTTTGAGTGTATTTTTTTTATTTTTGGTCCTTTATAAACATTCCATACCCCCCTCTCCCGTTCTTCACTTCTGCTTTCCTGGCCTTCTATCGGTACATTACTGTGTTCTTTTAAACGTTGCATCAGTGAAATTTACCACACGACTGGGACGACTGGAACACGTCATCCTATCCAAGAGGAAGTACGAACAAAGCACACGAGCGGCGTGTGGTCAAGGTAAGGCGAACGTCACTACCTGAATATGATTCGACGATATTTTTTCAGTGCTGAGATAACGCCTCTGCTTACTTGTCAGGCATGGGGGGATTCCGAGATCAAGTCTGACCGTTCGTTGGTTTGAGCTATTTTACACCGTTAGCAAGTGATTCGATACATTGCTAGCAGGGTGGCAGCGTGGCAAGGCGACTGGCCCATTGTATACTGGTCGCTACTGTGCGTCGCAACACCTCGCCACTAGCACGGCAGCGAAATGGTCGAGGCCACGTGGATCACCTGCGTTGCACTGCTCGCCGTCGTTCACTGCTCCGTGCGGCCAAAACATGACGAGCTTAGTGTTGCCGATCTTGCGCAGCTCGGGGAGGCGTTGGATGCGCCGGACTCACGAGGCACGAAGGCAGGGTTAAGGATGTAAAATTACTGGTAAGATTAAATGCGTCGCACTCACTAAAAAAAAAAAAAATTGTTCCAACGACCGCCGTGCTCTCGTGGCCGGGATGTTCTTGCCTCTATATATGACAGCTGGTGGTTGTGCCACCGACGCATAGGCTATGTCGTTGAGCCAGCATTTATGTAGTTGGGATGGCATCCCATGATCCTTAAACAATTCCGACGACAAAATGTTGATGCAATGATAAATGTCGTTGGAACACTGACATTTTTTATGTTGCGTGCGATAAGTTACGGTAGCACACTGAATAGCCCAGTAAAGTAAGCTCAAAACGCAAGAATAAAATTTTACTTTCTGAAGACTCGGTAGACCTCCCGCTACAACGGAACAAAAGTCCCCCTCAAACCCTGCTTTGCGACATACTCGTAAGAAGCTGTCAAACTTATATGTACTATAAATTTTAGCTCAAAATTCAAAATTGTTGCTGTTTTCTCAATACCATAATTTGGCACCTTTTTTTACATCTCTGGCCCGTAGGCAAGGTGGATTAAGGGACGGTGGCGGTGGCGGTGAGCTGCCACCGAGGTCGATACGATCACTCTGTGAGCTGTGACATCGGAATTAGTGTCGCGCCCGGCCGCCGCAGAGCGAGATTCCGTCGCGCGATCGGCTATTTTCGCCTCTGCCTCCTTTCCTGTTCATTTCAGCACGAAAACGGTAGGGAATTAAGATGAAGAGGACGAAATAATCTTTCGAACGAGCCTATACTGAAATCGATACGATAAGTATGTTCAAAGAACAGGCCTGTACCAGCCTGAACCCTTTCCTCCTTTGCGCTGATTGGCCGACGCGGACGAAGTTCCCGGATCCGATACTAGGGTTCGACCACCCTGGCGGCCAGTTCAAGAACTTCGTCGGCGTCAGCCAGTGCATAGGAGGAAATGGCTCAGGAAGAACTGCCGTTGTTCTTTGATTATTTCGCATTTTTTCGAGCTATTTCCGCATTTATTTCGAGGGAAGGTGTACGAACTATTTCGCAAGTGATTTCCCCCTCGGTCTGATTCTCGTTCAACAATCGTCGAAAAGCGTGAGGAGGGTCGATGACAACTCGTCTTAAATTCGTCCTTTAATTTTTAACCCAGTTTTGACTCATATTCAGCTGACTTTTTTACACGGGTCACTTTAGTCTCAGTCACCAAAGTCAGCTGGGCTGCGAATATTGTTATTGAAACCGGGGACCAGGACCGGCAACAAACGACTTCTTATTTCAATACGGCGACACTGCGTCTGACACACTTATGATATCGACTTCGGTATGAGCTCGTTCGAAAGATTATTTCGTCCTCTCCATCTTAATTACCTACCGTTTTCGTGCTGAAATGAACAGGAAAGGAGCCAGAGGCGAAAATAGCCGACCGCGCGACGGAATCTCGCTCCGCGGCGGCCGTGCGCGACACTAATTCCGATGTCACAGCTCACAGAGTGATCGTATCGACCTCGGTGGCAGCTCATTGTAAAGGTCTTTTTATGTTTTTTAATTGCTAAGAGGACATAATTTCGTGTAAAACGAACGGGGGAGGCGTCAGGAGCGAAGTTACCCAAGCGCGCGTTCCGGCGCAAAACTAATTTCGC